AAATAATTTCGTTCTAATAGTTCTGTAAGATCCTTCGGTATTATGACTCCTAGATATTTAAAGTACTCTGTTTGCCATGCTAATTGATACTTATTTTTAATTTCTTCTGATGGAATATAATTGTACTTAAGCAATTGTGTTTTACTCATATTAACCCTATATCCAGATAGTCGACCAAAGTATTCAAATGATTGCATTAATTTAGGTAAAGAATTTGATGGTTGACCCAAAAATATTAAACTATCATCTGCATAGCAGGCTAATTTATGCTCCTTTTCATGGATATTAATACCTTCTACTTCTTTATTTTGTCTTATATATTGAGCCAATGGTTCCAGATATAACGCAAATAATAATGGTGAGCACGCACAGCCATAGGTAGCCATTAATTTTAATCCTTGCCGTAGGGTTATCATAAAGTGCCTGTATTGTCTTAATTATATTTTTGTGAAAGCCAAATCTATGCAAGACTCGGTAAAGAAAGTTCCAATTAACTGAATTGAATGCTTTTTCTGCATCGATACTGATTACCATTGCTTCTATTTCATTCTTTTGAATATGATTAATACTTTGTAATGTCCGTCGTACATTATCTTGTATTTGGCGCTCTCGGATAAAACCTGTTTGATCATTATGAATTAGATTAGGTAAGAAATTTTCTAGTCGTCTAGTCATGATAGATGTAAACAGCTTGTAATCTGTATTAAGAACAGATATTGGTCTATATGACGCACATTCTAATTTTTCCTTATTTTCTTTTGGGATGGCAGAGATAATCGCTTCTTTCCAGCTAGAAGGTACTTGAGCCTTCTTTAGGATCCAATTCATTGTTAGAAGCATCACTGGTATTAATTCTTCTTTTAGCTCCTTGTACCATTCTGACGTATATCCATCTGATCCTGGAGATTTATTTATTTTAACTTTACTTATTGCTATTCTTAGTTCCTTTTCTGTTATATCTTCAATCAAAGTTTTATTCTGTTCTTCATTCAGTACTGGTAAATCAAGAGAAGCTAAAAAACTGTTAATTTCAACTATACTACTCTCTGTGTTATTAGCATAAAGAGTCTTATAAAATGTTTCAAATGCACTCTGAACTTCTATTGGTTTATTTTTTATTAGTTTTGTCACTGGATGTTTGATTTTGTGAACTGTATTATCTGCTATTTTCTTTTTTAGTTTCCAGGCTAATACATTCATTGCTTTTGATCCTCCCTCATAATACCTTTGTTTAAGAAACATTAATTTTTTTAAATTTCATATGTGGTCAAATCATTTATTTCATTTCTTGTTTTCCTAATTTCCTCCAATATGTCCTGTGTTGTTTTTCTTTTATGCCTTTAGGCCCCGAATTAGATTTAAAACCCTACAACTTAACAAAGGAAAAGGGGGGTGGGGCTTACCTTCTCTTAGGGAATATTATTGGGCAGCACAATTAAGGCCTATGATATGCTGGTGTAATCCTTCATACGATGCTCAATGGAAAGCCATTGAGGAGGGTCTGACTTCCATCCCCATACAAGCTATTATAGCAGACAGAAGCTTGCAAAATTTAATAAAAACTATTGAAAATCCATGGATCAAGTTGACTTTTAAAATTTGGGAAACAGTAATAAAAGAATATAAACTAGAAGAGGATATAGCAGTTCTTAAGTGGTGTGCATATGACACACATTTTGCTCCAAATAAATTGGACACCAGATTCAAAGATTGGACATATAAAGGATTAACAGCTTTATGTATGGTAATGGAGGAAGGGAGACTAATTAGTTTTGATAAAATGAAAGATAAATATTCATTAGAAACACAGGATTTTTATAGATATCTACAGATGAGGCATTTTGTCAATAAAACGATAAAAGCTAAGGCTGAATTAAGTAAACAGCTGCTAGACGTATTTAAAAGGGCATATAGTTCAAATAAAAATAGAGGTATTATAGGTGACCTCTATAAAGGATTAACAAATATGAAATTACACTCAACCTTGTATATCAAAACAAAATGGGAAATGGAGGGAGGAATGGAGATAGAGGGGGAAGAATGGACAACAATATGGGCATATCAATGGAAATGTAGCAGCTCACAGAGCTGGAGGGAATTTGGGTGGAAATGCCTGATAAGATATTTTATTACACCTCACCAAAAATCTCACTATGAAGGTAACCCTCCCTCTTGCTGGAGAAATTGTGGAAATACAAATGCAATCACTATCATATTTTCTGGGACTGTCATGTTATTAAAACTTATTGGAAGGGAATACATGCAGCAATACAAGAGACATTTGGAAGATATTTACCTTTGGAAAGTAAAACTCTATTTTTTGGACTTATGCCAGAAGGATGGACAAAGAACGATAAATACTTGTTTAATATTTTACTGGCAGCTGGCAAAAAAGCCATCACAAAAAATGGCTTTCTTCAGAGAGCCCAACTATGAACATGTGGATGAACATCACATTGGACATTTACAGAATGGAGAAAATGACAGCAGATGTGAACTACAAGAGGGACCTGTTTGTATCACGATGGAAGAAATGGATGGACTACATTAGAAAACGCAGGGCAGTTTTTGCTTTTGCTTTAGATTTTGACTTTGTTAACTACTAGAAGACTAGAGGAAATATTAGTTACATTAATGGAAACAAAAACACTCCCTATATTTATTTATTTATTTTTCTTTCCTTTTTCTTTTTCCTTATGTATTTTTTATTTATGTTGTTTGTTGTTTCCTGTTTTGCTTCTTTTTCTTTTCTTCTTTTTCTTTTCTTCTTATTGTATGGATATTTTAGTTGTTTAAATATAGAAAAAAAGAAAAATATATATGTACTGAAAGATAGCTGAAGTTGATGGTATTGTATAGTGATTCTAAAATGTTAAAAAAAAAAAAAAAAAAAAAAAAATTTCATAAATACAGCTTCCCCACACCTGATTAATATCACTATTATACCCACTGTCAGTGTTATCAGGTCCTGCTGTGACGTGTCAAAATGTCTCTTGAAAACAACCATTATGGTACAATTTTTGTTAAGACTGTGGCCAAATACACTTCAAAAATATAGCTTTTGTGTCATCCTCCTTGTAGAAACACTTAAATATTCCTGATACTTATTTAAACACACGTGGAAATCACTGTCAAGTTTGTCTTCGTTCTCCAAAATCAGCCAGGACAGCAATGACAAGTTTCTTTGGAAAAGGGGGCCTGGAAAAATCAAAGCATGGATAAAAAAGCTTGTTTGTTTAGAGTTGAAGCAACTTTTTAAAAAGGCAGTCAAACGTTCCAACAAGCTTTTATTATGCCCCCCCCCCCCCCCCCCCCCCCAAAAAAAAGGGGGGTGGGACATGAATAAACTAGTAATAATGGTGCACTCAAAAAATAATATTCCTCCAATTGATCCCTTCTTTTCCACTTATCCTATTCAGGGTGTAGGAAAGCGGCTGGAGCCAGTCCCGGGTGGTGCTGGGTCAGATGGTGGATTCAAACCCAGGTCCTTGTTGCTGTAAGGCATCACCATGCCCTAAGGTTGTAACCTACACAGCTCTATTTACTAAAAGACGCAGAGCTCCAATAAGGCCCCCCTGACACTGGATGAGCTGTTTCTCTACTCACACACACACTCAGCAGAAATGTAAATCAATGGGCTGAAGGTTTGGGTCTGATCGGTGTTGTTCTACACTCTGCAGGGGCACATCTTTCCTGTGGGGCCAACAGCCTGAGTAATGGCTTCATTTACAGTATTCACAGTTAACAGGCTGTCACATCTGCAGCAGGATGACTTGCAGCTATTTGTGGGGTTGTAATTCTCACCGACTTGTATCATCAGTACAGAGAGCCAGTCTTTGTTTTGTCAGTGTAATGTAAAATAAACGCTCAATAGTATTGACCCCAAACCCCTCTCTCTCTCTCTCTCTCTCTCTCACACACACACACACACACACACACACACACACACACACACACACACACACACACACACACACACAGAGGCTCTCATTTTTGCTTCTGCTTCTCAGCCTCTAACAGTTATGGATCTTTTGGCCTGTATTGCTTCTTGTACTGTCACTGCTCTGATGCACTCCGCAAATTATTATTTAAAAGATGATCTTGCTGGGTGGCAGTCAGGTTGGTAGACAGGCGACTAAACATGTTTGAAAGGGTGAGAGGTGAGTTTACAGGAAACAAAGGAATGATGAGTGAGGTGCAGGTAGAGAAACTGGGATAAGGTGGAGTGGGTGTGTCAGACAGGTGACTGGGAGGAGACTGAGGGCCTCTGCAGGGTGGAAGCAGGGATATAAACTGTAACACTGCTCACCTCTGCCTAAAGAGTTAAGGAGAAATAATCCAGCCATAACAGTTTGATCCAGGGCCGTTTCAGGCCACAGCTCCATGAAAACGCTTCTGCTCTTCTTACCGAGGAAGAATTTCTTACTTGTGTTTGTTAGACTTGAAGTAAGAATGCAGAAGTGGCAGTTTTACACACAGTGGTGTTGAAGGTAATTCTCTCAACTGTGTGTGATGTTTTCTGATGTAATCTAAAATATATATTTATATATAAGTACCTGCCCTACAACACAATTCATATGAAAATAAATATTTAAAATATGAATATTTTATTCAGGATGTAATTTGATGTGACTAAATGATAACTTCGTTGTGATACATGGCGGTGCTACAACAGTAAAAGTTATTTTGATGGGCAAAGACGTTCAGAATGAAAATCCCTCCTTCCTTTATCACACAGGAAATGAAGTAAGCAGGTAATCAGGGATGATGCTGGAGGGATGAGGTTTCTAGACATTTAAACGTGTGTGTGTGTTTACACATGATGTGTGAGTTCCTCGTGGTCTAACCAAAAGAGGGAGGAGAGTGGGCTTCTCGTGCTTCTGCCCCCCCCTTCAGTATTTTCCGGTATGGTAGTCTCGCAGCGGCCTCCCGGGCGGGGCTGTGTGAACCGGTATAAGAGGGGACATGGTCCGGAGGGTGGAGGGAGAGTCACCTGTAGACCTGCTGCGACACTGTGCTCCTCAGCCTCTAATCTGCTGCCTCCCACTGGGACCTCCGCCCTCCCGCTTCACCGCCACCAGCACCATGGATAGCTCCGGGATGCTCCGCGGGCTGCTGCTCGTCGGCCTGCTGTCCGTCCTGTGCCACGGCCAGGCATCACGGGAAGTCTCCGCAGAAGACTTTGGAGAGAAGAAACAAGAAGCAGCTGTAGACAGAGACCTGGTGAGTATCTGCAGAGCTGTGAGTTTATGGAGGAAGGCCACAGTGAGGGAGGGAGCAGTTTAATGATAAAGCTGAGAGACGCCAAATAACTAAGAAAAGAAAATATCGTTTTGAGTACAAACTCAGAATTCTGGACGGATGCTGTAAACTACATGTGAGGTATAAACTGTTTGTGAGGCACAAATACTCAAATCAACATAAACACGTAGGATCCAAATAAAGCGCATTTCATTTGCATGCGATTCTCTCACTTCCACGCTGCTTAAACACAATCAGAATAAACAGAAGTAAAAGTTTGCAGACTTATGCAATATTCCCGGATTTCCTATGACAGCAACTGTTAACTGTCACATCAGCTGCTTTTCTGTCTGCTGTATGTCTTTGGGTTTCAGTGGGGATGCAGCTGCACGTCACAGTTTTTTTTTGTTTTTTCGTGAAACTTAAGTGTGATTTACTTGACCCTCGGTGGTTTCTGGTGGCCAAAATGATGGCTCACGTTGTCAATAATTAGAACCATGTTTTTCTTTGATCCGTGAATAATGATGAAGTATTTTTTTTAATAGAAAGAAAAAAAAAGTTACATTAAATTATCAACACATGTACTGCACAACGGCTCGTTATATTAATAGTCACGCTGTAAATAACGTCAAACTGAGAGGTGATTATAATGGTCACTTTTGTCTGTTTTGCCTGTTTATCATCATAAGTTGTTGCTGTGGTTAGTTATGAACGTTTTGCCATTTAGCATATGGCATGATAAGCATAATAAACAAAAGCTTTATTATAAAAGCTGAACAGCTTTTCAGAGAGTTCAGTTGAAATTTAGTAAATTGCGTTCTTTCTATTTAATTGCATTTGTATCCTTTGTCATGTGTCTAATTTTTTTTCCAACTGCAAACATATAAACTCATAAATTCATGATTCATATGATTCAAATGAACCTGGACATGTTTTAGTTTGCTGGAATAAAGTTACAGTATCAAAAAATTATCTCACTGTAGTCTTAGTAGTAACTCTGTAACATAATTGTGTTATTAACATGAATAACGCTGACAGTGCAGTGTTACAAATGCTAACACGTTTAACATTTAACTCTAACCTGAGTGAAACTGACTGAAAGGGTAACACAGCTCATAGTGTAGCGTTAACACTCTATCACAGTTAGTTTGACACTTTTGTTTTTATTGTGTATCTTCTGGCTTCATTAAAAAGTTTGAGCACGAATAAATGTGCAAAAGTATCAAAAAGTGGATGAATGTTATTTAAATCAAACTTTTTCTGTTGTTCTGTGCTGAGCAGCTAGAGGCACTGGACGTGCTCCTGGGCAGAAACCATAATCAAGTCTCCTCCCCTGAGAAAAGAGGAAGCATCCCACTGGTAACGTCACTCCCCCCCCCCCCCCCCCCCCCCCCACGGTTTTAACATTAATGCACCGTGGCTCTAAGGACGTCATTTAGTCTCGGCTTGTAAGACGAGTCATTAATATGTACTGCGTACATCACTCCACTGCTGTTTAATTAAAGCGTATGGAAAATATACCTGCCAGTAATTAAAAGATAACAAGGGAATGCCAACAACACTCTTTCATTCAGTGCAATTACAGACTAATCAAGGCTGCTGCCCAACTCCAATTAGCTGAGAGAGGGAAACTGGAAAGCTGCAAACAGCTTTCAATCCTCCTGTCTCCTCACACAAAATAAGTCAGCCTGTTTCCTACAGGCCCAGCTGGAGGTAATGGATGGCATTTAATTACAGCGCTGAAGAATGATTCATCTTCTTCTTTCTGTTAAATAAATTGAATAACTGTTCGCAAAGTAATGAAGTTTTTGTGCGCAAATAACAGAATAAAAAATAAATATCCTCCCTGACAGATGTGAAAGCTCATAGTTCTTTTTGCAGCTGTTTCCACATTCAAAGATAAATAAGTAAACTCGCTCAGAGTAACAAGTCTGTGTCTTCCTGCTCCCCTCAGTGCGGGTTGGGGAACCGGTGTGCCATGAAGTACGGGCCTCGCATCGGGAAGCTCTGCGACTGTGGAAGAGGAGCCAACTGCAACTCCTACCTCCTCAAGTGCATCTAAACCGCCCAGGGCTCTCCTTTAATTTGTCACCTCTGCTATGCCAAACACATCCTTCAGCACAGCTCCCATAAACCAACCCTTTCATTTATAGTCATAGCTGTTGTTAAACAGTTGTCGCCTGAGGATAAGCATGGATTTTGTACTGCTGACAGTACTGAATATGTTGTGTTTAATGTAAATGTTTCATCTTCAATAAACACGTCAACATATAATTTGTTTTTTTTGTTATTTCTTGGTCCGTGTCGCTCGCCCTTTGTCATTCAGGTTACTGTGTGTTTTTATATTGGAGATGAGAACATGTTGTATAAAGCTTGTTTGGATTCGTTTTTATTGGCACTGCAGCCATTACACTACACAGGAAGTTTGCTCAGCTGGAAGGACAGCACTGTGCAAATTCAAGCTCTTCAATGTAGCTGGAGTGTGTCCAGTAACGATACACATTTATTCTGGTTTCAGAGGCCTTTCGGGCCAGTGGAGAATGCATACGTAGGAGGTTTCAAACTTGGGAAAAGCCTTAAAAGTATAATGTACTGACACGCTGGTTTATTTGTTTATGTAGAAACTTCAATTCAATTCAGTTTTATTTATATAGCGTCAAATCACAACAACAGTCGCCCCAAGGCGCTTTATATTGTACAGTATATCCTATAATAATAGATACAGAGAAAAACCCAACAATCATATGACCCCCTATATGAGCAAGCACTTTGGTGACAGTGGGAAGGAAAAACTCCCTTTTAACAGGAAGAAACCTCCAGCAGAACCAGGCTCAGGGAGGGGCGGGGCCATCTGCTGCGACCGGTTGGGGTGAGAGAAGTAGAGACAGGATAAAGACATGCTGTGGAAGAGAGACAGAGGTTAATAACAGATATGATTCAATGCAGAGAGGTATATTAATACATAGTGAGGGAGAAAGGTGACTGGAAAGGAAAAACTCAATGCATCATGGGAATCCCCGGCAGCCTACGTCTATTGCAGCATAATTAAGGGAGGATTCAGGGTCACCTGGTCCAGCCCTAACTATATGCTTTAGCAAAAAGGAAAGTTTGAAGCCTAATCTTGAAAGTAGAGATAGTGTCTGTCTCCTGAATCTAAACTGGAAGCTGGTTCCACAGAAGAGGGGCCTGAAAACTGAAGGCTCTGCCTCCCATTCTACTTTTAAATACTCTAGGAACAACAAGTAGGCCTGCAGAGCGAGAGCGAAGTGCTCTAATAGGGTGATATGGTACTACAAGGTCATTAAGATAAGATGGGGCCTGATTATTTAAGACCTTGTATGTGAGGAGCAGGATTTTGAATTCTGGATTTAACAGGGAGCCAATGAAGGGAAGCCAATACAGGAGAAATCTGCTCTCTCCCTTTCAAGGATGCCAATGTTCACATTTTGGACAGAGAGGACAGATGGTTTGAAAGAGGAGTGAAAGAAGCCATCTATGTCCACTGTGAGCGACCATCTTTGAACAGAGGCGGGGGTTTACGACACCAACTGTCTGCCATCTATAATCTAGTTTTGAGATCCTTCCCAGACGTCTTAACGCCCACTCACATCCTGGGCCATCTGACCTCAGGAATTCGCATGATAAGGTGGGGCCAGGTTTCACAATGAACTCACCCGAAACTCTGACTGATTGGGACCCACGCCGAGTTCGACACGTTGGCTCAGGCGATTAGAGGATCATCAGGGGGTCCTTTTGTCCTTCTGTGGGGGGTCACTCCCACTAGGTTTATATCTGGGACTCTCCACCATTTGACCTTAGAACTGAAGAAACTTCTCGGATGAGAGGTGAAACGTCTTCAAGTAACTTAAAGAAGTCCGGACGCTTTTCTTTGCAAGCTCCTTTGAATATTTGTTTAATATGTGCATTGAAGGACATGTCCTGGTCAAAAATGACTCCAAGGTTCCTCACAGTGTTACTGGAGGCCAAGGTAATGCCATCCAGAGTAAGAATCTGGTTAGATACCATATTTCTAAGATTTTCGGGGCCGAGTACAATAACCTCAGTTTGATCTGAATTAAGAAGCAGAAAGTTAGCGGCCATCCAGGTCTTTATGTCTTTAAGACATTCCTGCAGTTTAACTAATTGGTGTGTGTTATCTGGCTTCATAGATAGATAGAGCTGGGTGTCATCTGCATAGCAGTGAAAATTTATGCTATGTCTTCTAATGATGCTGCCTAAGGGAAGCATGTATAATGTAAACAGAATACAACTTAGACTCACATTAGTGTCAGGTGTGTTAAAGGTGTTTTAACTTCGTGTAACAAAGAAGACGATTAAAAGACGAACTGTTGCCAGAATAAAGTTGGTAGCACACACTGCCATTTCTAAGTAACCACAGCTTATAACAGGCACGACATACTGTGCAGTTACCATTGACTCAGAGCTCTTTTGTTGTTGTTTTTATATATTTCTGGGAATATTCATGGGAATTGAAAATGAGCACTTAAATCAGTAAAAAAAAAAAAAGTCTATAAACACACAAACACAAACTGTAATATACAATGACAATGAGAATGATAGTGAAGATGTTCATTATTTCCAGCAGAATCACAACAACACCATCAATCATCTGGAATCATATTTCAATGCAGATGATTACTTTAAACCCAATATTCACTCTTGTTTTTGCTCTATTAGCATCACCACCCAAGTACACTGTGTAGATAACTACACATTACACCTACAGGAGTTGTTTGGCAATGGAAACCCTGCTATGATGTTCGAGGCACACACTTTTTGTGTTTGGAAATCTGCAGTTAGTGAGTCAGCAGAGCGTTGGCAACTTGTATGCACTATACACCTCTGCAACAAAACTCTATAATTTTATATGATCAGTCACTTCTTGGCTAAGCTGCTCCTAAACGACTGTGAAACATCTAAATTTCACAAACTGGTGGCACCGTCTTACAGGACCATGCCAGAATTCAAAAACACATTCTTTGAAACATGTTGGCAACGGCTGCATGGCTACAAGCTGGAGTTGATACCTGTGGCAATGAGACTGAAAATGTCTGGACTCAGTAAGAGATGTGGCCTGACACAACGTCCACACCGTGTACAGCCTTTTACCCTTCACTGGCTCCGCCTGTGAGCTGCAGTGATTGGGTACAACGATTACTTTTTTAAGAGTTAAAAGGCTTAAACCCCCCATAGTGCTGCAGACACAAGGACAACTTGTGTTCCTGACGAGGGGAAGCCTCTTCCACACAGTCTATCTGGATCATTGTTATTATTATATTGTTAATATACTGTTTGGTAGATATTCATTTATAAAATAAGTCAGAATTTGAAGCAGAATATTTCTGCAGTGTATTACAGGGTGTGTCACATAACTTCTACAAGCAGTTGTCTTCATGTTTTGTTTTTAACCCTCCAGTGCAGGAGCCATTAAACAGCTCCTGCACTGGACTCCTGCAGGACTGTGGCTTTAAAGGTTGATGGAGACCCTCTGCTGGCTGATGCTGCTTGGGCTGGAGCCAAGTGCAACATGCTTATTATGGGCAAGATACTAACCCCATGTTTGCCTACTGGTGGTGGTCAGAGGGCCCGGTGGCGCCTGTGTCCGGCAGCCTCGCCTCTGTCAGTGCGCCCCAGGGCAGCTGTGGCTACAATGTAGCTTGCTATCGCCAGTGTGTGAATGTGTGTGTGAATGGGTGAATGACTGAATGTAGTGTGAAGCGCTTTGGGGTCCTATGGACTAGAAAAGCGCTATACAAATGCAGGCCATTTACCATTTATTAAGCCCAAAGTGGAAACAGACCAAAGAAAAACAAATCAGCGTGACGGCTCATCATTTATAAATGCTTATTTATAACTGCCCTTTCCTAAACTTTTATTCTTGCTCTTTCCAGAGCCTGTGCACCCTGCTGCGTGACACATTTAACCACAGCTTGGAACAAATGTAGTGTGTTCATAATATTTGGCTGTATTTAGTCACAAACTGTGACAAATAAAAGCACACTGTCCAGCTGCGCCAAAGATATGTACAGTAATGCTGCAAACATGTGGCCTGCAGCCAACAGATACATGCTTTTCATTCATCCTCCTAATCCGCCATGAAAAACCGAGGAGCTCATTTAAAGTTCTTTGGCTTCCTCTGCTTCTGTTGAAGAGATAGCAGACAAACAGCCCTGTAATGCGTCCCCTGTCCAACGGCTGAAGAAATTTAACCTGCATTAAAAAACAAGTCAATCAACAGTGGATGAAAAGCTTCTGTTTTTAATTATTGCAAACAGTGTGTACCATGTGTCCCCAATAAGGCAACCTTACCTGTGAATTTTAACATGTAACATGGGAGATGCACTGCCTTTTAAAATTAGCCTGAAGTCTCATTAGAGGAACCACATGTTTTGGTACTTCCACACTGACTTAAAATGTAAGCCACGTAAATGTTTTCACAGGGGTCTGTGAAAAACCAAGAACACCCCACGATTCAGTAGATTGTAGAACCATGTTTAGTTGAAGTGATGATATTCTGTATGACTGTATCATGTCTCTGACATCACTGCGGAGGAGGCCCTCTCTTCTGCTAACAGCCCACCGTTACCAGTAGCAGGGCCTAATGTAGCCTCGGAGTAGTAATCTGGCCTGCAGGAGGACTAAAAAGGTCTGGAAAGCTCACAGTTTCACACACTGTTTTAGTTTGTAGTTTTCAGACTTCACATCGCTCTCTGTGGTGCCCTTATACTCTTCAGCACCTGGAAATATTGTTAAAGTTCTTATTAAAGCAACATCCTGCCTGATAAGGAATCTATATATCTGTGTCCTATTGCCCAAAATTATTGTGTGCTGGACTGTACTGGGACAGTGGCTGCTGTCGTCACAACCCCAGTGATGTTTCAAATAAGGTTTTTTTTCCAGCATTAAATCTGTTACACCACATTCACTCTGTCCTGGTTTCTTCCAGCCTCATGACTCCCCTGGGTTCTCTTAAAGTGGTGCCAACTTGATGAAAAAAGCTCTTTTTTTGTACAGTTGTGAAGCACAATAGAGAGAGCTGTTTTACAGCAGACAGAAAGCTGTTGTTTCCACTCCCCACCCAGGTAATGTGATCCGTTCCCGACTAGATGGCGTGATTCAAAGATAATAAACTAACTGCTACAATGACTCACATGAAACATAAAAAGAAATAAAAGTCACTATTATTCTTTGTCTGTGATGTTGAAAGTC